TTTTTTGAGTAGCTGTTGTGAATAGTTGGAAGTGGATAAGAGGGGGAGAAGTGAAACAGAATCTAAAGGAAATTAATTCCCTGAATGCAGATCTCAAACATTCCGCTGCCATGATGGCAACTGGTTGTCATACTCGCTTACCTCTTTGTCATGCCTGCTTTCCATTTCTCCTCTCCTAGATTATGCCATGAACCAACCTGATGTTTTATCTCAGATTCAGCCAGAAGGAGAACACACTACAGATGACCAACCAAGGCCAGAAGCAAGTGAGATCCCTGCAGACCCCAGGGAAGGTAAGAAAGAGAAAAAAACCATGTACTCTTAAGCTCCTTTTACTGGTCAGAGAGGGGGCTCAACACAAAGAAAGTGGGTTGGCGGTGTCCAGAGCCATTCAGTGCTAAAATACTTACACTGTGAGTGTAGGTTTAAATCCTAGAGGAGCCCAGTGGTCACTTTATCCTTTACCCTTCAGTACCTCATACATGCTGGTGGGGTGCTCTACCACTGAGTGACAGCCCCTCCCTTTTTCTTTTGAGATACATATTTTTTTTGTATATATTTAGTTCAGTCATTTTTTTGCTGAAAATGATTAAACAGTGTATTTGATTTTCTTAATACTGTTTTTATTGTTTATAATTTTAGCTTGTGTTGGTGATTATCAAAAGAGTATGTGATTCATGTGACATAAACCAATCAATATGTAACATTAAGAAAACAAACTCAAAGAACTCCACATACCTTCATATTACAGCTAAGATATATTACAGCAAATGGATATGAAGCAACATCATCAAAAAATACATGGAAGAAGCCGGAGGCAAGCTTCCCAGACTTCCCTCCCTTTGCTATCTCACAAGGCACATTTAATTCCCCCAGCAGTGAACGTGACAGCATATACAAAATTCTATTATAGAAGCTCATTAGATACTCAATGCCTATAGTTCTCTTGGAGTTATCACATAGGCCTACCCTGCCTAAGGTACTCAAATTCCAGATTCCCAAAAGGAAAGCAGGTAGTTAGAATAAAGCATTCTGTTAGCAGCTGAGGAATAGTAAGATAGTCTTGTCGTTTAGAGAAATTGTTGTACCTATAAAGAACAGTATGCCAAATCTCTATACCTGCAAGCACTTCCTTCTCAGGATGAACAGTCTTGGTCTGTGCTGAGTTTCCCTTCTCCCAACATAGGGAAAGAGCCTTGGTTCCTTTCACTGGAGAAGACTACTAACCACTTGTTCTAGTTTCATTTCTATTGCTATCAGAAAATGTCCTGACTAAATGTGAGTTAGGGGAGAAAGCATTTATTTTAGCTTCAATTTCAGGCAGTAGTCCATCATTGTGGAGAGGCATGGAGCTTAAAGTAGTCAGTTACATCACATCCATAATCAAGAGCCAAAAGAAATGAACAAATGCATGTAGGCTCATGTGCTTGCTTTCTTATGCTCAGCTTGATTATTCACTTTACACAGTTCAACATGACCTCAGGCTAACCCAATTTAGACAGTCCCTCATTAAGACTCTTTTTCTAGGTTGTGTCAGAGTGACAAAGCTAATCATCACACCCAGTAATCTTAAATATGAATCCAAAATATTAAGTGAAATCATGATGCTTTTCTTTTTCTAAATGGTGTGTATTTTGTAGCTTTGTCCACTGAAAAGATATAAAAGCAATGATGGATTAGCAATTAGCAGCCTTCCTAAGGGACAATAGGCATGCACCATTGTACCAATTCTTATATTTGCTTATTAAATGCACAGATCACTGTTTTCAGAATCTTTTAAAAAATAATTTATTTAATTTTATTCTTTGTGCATTGATATGAAGGTGTCAGAACTACACTTACAGACAGTTAGAAGCTCCATATGGATGCTGGGAATTGAACCCGGGTTAAGGCAGTGCTCTTAACTACAGAGCCATCTCTCCAGCCCTGTTTTCAGAATCTTGGGAGAGATGTAAATCCCCTTTAGGAGTTAAGGATTTTTTTGAAAGAACCCTCCCTGCCAGAAAGGCTTCATCTCATTCATTCATTCCCTCTATATATCTATCTCTATCTTCATATCTATCTATACATAGAGAGAGAAAGGGAGATCTCCTTCTCCTGTCCCTCTCTCTTCCTCTCCCTTCTTTTTTGAGATAGGGTCTCTCTGTGCAGCCTTGGCTGTCCTAGAACATACTATGTATACCATGAGCTCATAGGAATCTGCCTGCCTCTGCTTTTTTAATGCTGGGATTAAAATTTTATTAATATTTATTAATATTAATAAAGCATATGCCACATGCTTTACCTTTATTTTTATTTTACATGTGTGGGACTTTTGGCAAATGTTTGTTGATGTACCATATGTGTCAGTGCTCATGGAGGGCAGAAGAGGTCAGGATCCCCTGGAACTGGAGTTACAGATAGTTATGACCTACCATGTGGAAGCTGGAAATTGAACCAGGTCCTCTGAAAGAGCATCCAGTGCTTTTAACTGCTGAGCCATCTTTCCAGCTCCCTTCAGTGTCCTTCAAATCAGCCAGAGACTAGCGGACTATAAATGCGCCCACAGCAGAAAGATGGTGGATAGGGCCCAAAGACTCTCTGCTTGGGCAGAGATAGGAAAGTGCGGGTTCCAGCATGGACAGCAACCTGCTTTTCTCATTTCCTTCTGTGATCTGCAAACAAGTCTAGTAAGTTAGGTCCAGCTTTATCTTTGTTCCTTCCTTGATTCTGAATATACATGTATATATAAAGAAGAGGGTGGACATGGCGGTAGGGGCAGGGGATCTTTGTGAGTTTGTGGCTAACCTGGCCTACATAGGGAGTTCCAGGCTTGCCAGGGCTACAAATTGAGAACTTGCCCACCATACCACAAAAAAAAAAAAAAAAAGAAAGAAAGAAAGAAAGAAAGAAAGAAAGAAAGAAAGAAAGAAAGAAAGGCAGGCGGGGGGGGAGTCAGGGCCATTGAGACAGTGGGTAAAGGTGCCTGCTGCCAAGCCTGATACTCTTGAGTTTTATCCACAGGACCCACATAGTGAAAGCAGGGATCCAACCCCTACAGCTCTAAGCTATACATGCACACACACACACACACACACACACACACACATACACACATACACATAAATAAATAAAAGTGTAGAGGGGCTGGGGGTGTGTGAAGAGAAGGCCCTAAGTGAATAAAATTCTATTCATTAGAAATATGATTTTTATAGTCATGTTTCACAGGCGTTATGGCACAAGCTGGTATTCTCAGCAATGCGGGTAGAATAGGGACAGAGAGATTAGGAATTCAGGGTTATCCATGACCACATAACAAGTTTGAGGCCAATCTGGGTTACATGAGATCATGTCTCTAGAGAAAAAAAATAAAATAAAGAAGTATCAGTAAACAGATCTGGTGGTGCACACATTTAATCCTGGCACTTCAGAAACAGGGGCAGGTAGATATCTGAATTCAGGGCCAGCCAGAGATACATAGCAAAACAAAACGAAACAGAAAAAAGGAAAATTAATAATGTCATGTTTAATAAATGAACACGATTCTATTACCTTTTAAAGAGATTTATCTATTATTTTATGTGTATGAATGTTTTGCCTGTGTGTATGTATGTGCACTGTGTGTTCAAGAAGGTCAGAAGAGACCATTGGAGCTGCAGTTACAGATGACTGTGTGCTAGGAATTGAACCCAGGTTTTCTGCAAAAACAACAAGTGCCTTAGCCACTGAGCTAGCTCTCCAACACAGTTTTACCTTCTGAGTCTAGTCCCTGAAGACCATTCTTTCTTTTTCTCCACAAATAGAGCCTGGCCTTTCAACATCAGATATTCTGTCTTGGATTAAACAAGAGGAAGAACCTCAGGTTGGAGTTCCCCAGGAGTCTAAAGAGAGTGAGCTCTACAAAGGCACCTATGCTGGTGAGTGATAGAGGGATCAGAGCTCACACCAGGAGAGACTGAATAATGCAGCTGAAAAGGTGTTAGAAAGACAAGGAACAGAGAGGAAGAAAAGAAAGATATGGTTAGCCAAGTTAATAATGAAACCAAAAGGCCACCTCGATAAATTTAAAGTAGTAAACACACTTTTAAAAACATTAGTGCGTGGGGAGGCACATGCAGAGATCCAAGGACAACTTCTTGTAGAATTTGGTTTTCCTCTTCCACTGTGTGGGTCTCAGAGATTGAACACAGGTTGCTAAGCTTGATGACAAATATGTTTACCAACTAAGCCATCTCAGCAGCCCAGAAACCTTGCTCTTAATGTAAAGACAAATTAGAACTGTTTAGGCTGGGTATATCAATGATAAAAGTGTGGTACATGCACAAAGCTCTAGGTTCAACTTCTAGTACCATATTTTAAAAAGAAAACCAGGACTGTCAGGGGAAAAATAATGAGTGTATATAAGTGAATGAAAAATGTGAGAGTTAGAAAAGCAGCATTTGAAGATTACTTCAAAAAGATGGCTAGAACAGAGCCAGGTGTGGTGGCCTGTAATCACAGCACTCAGGAGGAGGAAGCAAGAAGATTGTCTGGTCTACCTAGTAAACTTTAACCAATCAGGTTTATACAGCAAGATTCTATCTCAGTAATTAATCAGTCAAAATAGAATTGAACATAGGGAGTCAGGTAGAGAGAAACAGGCAATAGAAATGAAAGTGTTAGTGGGACACAATGGAACACTTCTGTAATCCCAGCACTTGGGAAGGCAGAGGCAGATGGATTTCTGTGAATTTGAGGCCAGCCTGGTCTACAAAGCAAGTTCAAGACAGCCAAGGCTACACAGAGAAACCCTGTCTCAAAAAAACAAAAAACAAAAAAAAAAAAAAAAAAAAAAAAAAAAAAAAAGGAAAGAGAGAGATGAAAGTATTAGAGGAATGCAATGGGTGCAATGGGAATATTAAGAGCCTCTCTTCAATAAAAAGAAAAATTGATAGGCAAAGAAACATATGTGTCCTTGTATAGGACCAACTGTGATTTACCTCTTGAATTATAAGAGAATCTTGGCCAATGAGGTGGCTGTAGTGGATAAAGGCACCTGTGCCAAGCGTGACCATCTAAGTTTGATTTCCCAGGACTCACATGGTGAAAGCAGAGAGCCAGTTCCTACATCTGACCTCTACATTTGCAGTATGGCGTGCACATGTTCTCCTCCACAAGATAAATAATGTAACTTATAGGAGAGACTGTGAAGGCCAGAAGGGACTCAGTTGTTTATACAGCTCAATAGAATCTGGCGGTTCTATTAAGGTACGCCTTTTGGACGTACAGCCACTGACCTGCCTGAGGCCTCAGAGGGACAGTGACCTTTACTCAGTTAGGAAGCTGCCCTCTCCCTCTTTTAGTTGGAGAGCAGGTGTTCTCTTGTTTTTTAGTATGTTCTGTGCCGTGTGTTTCTTTAGAGTCTGGGAAGTGTACCTGGGAAATACCACAGTTTATGATCTGTAGAAAATTTACACCACAGTCATACACACCAATCTAGGCATGTCTGTTGTTAGGTGCAAGAGTGAGTAGATGGATGGCTTAAAACACTTGAGGTTTGGAAACGTGTCAGTCTTAGTTTAGGTATTCAGATAATTCATAACCAAGGATGTGAAGAGCCAACCTGTAGTCCCAGCACCTGAGACATTCCAGGCTAGACTTAGCTATATAACAAGTTTGAGGCTAGCCTGAGTTACAAGAAACCCATCTCACCCCTGCCCCCATTGCTTCCCTAGTGAGCAAGTCTGAGGACAGAATGGGCTTAAAAGACTGACTAGTTTGATTTGACTATGACTTAGGAAGACAGAAAGAGAAAGGAAACAACTTGGAATAGGGAAGATAGAATGACCAGAGATGCAAAGAGGTGGAACTATGTTCTTATTTCTGGGAAGATAGAGTCAGCCGACTTCAAGGAAAGGCTTATCTCGTAGAATGTAGAATAGAGTAAAGAGGTTATTTTAGGCCCAGTCACACCAGCAACAGAGAAAGTTACTGATAAGATGGAAACATAAAGAAAATAATGGGGAGATTGGTGCCAAGGTTATCCTTTTCAAAAATGGGTCATCAAAGCACACTCTTGGATTTGTAATGATTTGCCACACAGCCTACAGGTTTGGCATTAGCAATGAGAGCCCTGCCCCGAGCCTGTGTGAGCAGTCAGCTGCTTAGAGCAGACTGCTTGAGCAGGGCAGGAGTGTGCCCTGGGAGATGGCTGTTGGCAGGTGTAACTCTGAGTCCCCTCTTTCAGATGAAGAACTTGTCATCAAAGCTGAAGACCTTGCTAGAGCCTCCTTGTGCCCTGAAGTTCCGGTAGCCTTCTCTGCTCCACCAGCCGCAGCCAAGGATGCGTTTTCAGATGTAGCTTTCAAAAGCCAACAGTGTACACCCCTGACACCTTTTGGACGTACAGCCACTGACCTGCCTGAGGCCTCAGAGGGACAAGTGACCTTTACTCAGTTAGGAAGCTACCCTCTCCCTCCTCCAGTTGGAGAGCAGGTGTTCTCCTGCCACCACTGTGGCAAGACTCTCAGTCAAGACATGTTAATGACACACCAGTGTAGCCACGCTGCTGAACATCCCTTACCCTGCGCCCAGTGTCCCAAGCACTTTTCCCCACAGGCAGATCTTGGTAGCACCTCCCAGGATCATGCCAATGAAACACCACCCACCTGCCCACACTGTGCCCGGACCTTCACTCACCCCTCCCGACTTACATACCACCTTCGCGTCCACAACAGCACTGAGCGCCCTTTTCCCTGTCCTGATTGTCCCAAGCGCTTCGCTGACCAGGCTCGACTCACCAGCCACAGGCGAGCTCATGCTAGTGAGAGGCCCTTCCGGTGCCCGCAGTGTGGTCGTAGCTTCAGCCTGAAGATCAGTCTCCTGCTGCATCAGAGAGGGCACGCGCAGGAGCGCCCCTTCTCCTGCCCTCAGTGTGGCATTGACTTCAATGGCCACTCGGCACTGATTCGCCACCAGATGATCCACACGGGCGAACGGCCCTACCCCTGCACAGACTGCAGCAAGAGCTTCATGCGTAAGGAACACTTGCTAAACCACCGGAGGCTGCACACAGGTGAGCGGCCCTTCCAGTGTGCTCACTGCGGCAAGAGCTTCATCCGCAAGCACCACCTCATGAAGCACCAGCGCATCCACACGGGCGAGCGGCCCTACCCCTGCGCAGTGTGCGGAAGGAGCTTCCGCTACAAGCAGACGCTCAAGGACCACCTGCGGACCGGTCACAGTGGAGGCTGTGCGGGTGATAGGGACCCTTCCGCACAGCCACCAGACCCGCCTGGTCCACTCTTAACTGCCCTGGAAACCTCTGGCCTAGGCGTTAGCACTGAAGGTCTAGAGTCTAGTCAGTGGTATGGGGAAGGGAATGGAGGGGTGGTTTTGTAAATCTGTGGTCCATTGGTTATTTATGTTCTTAGCAGAGCAGAAAGTCCGGGAGGAAGCCCACAAGCTCCACAAACCATAGTAATTATTATCTGGTACATAAAAGAACTTGAGGTCCATACTCAATTACGGACATGCTTGTGCTTTGGAAGCCCACAGCAGTCCAAGAATACCGTATTTTGAAAACTGGAAGCTAGTCCAGTACCCCTGTCTTTCAAATGACACAAATGCAGGGTTGGAAAGCAAGGTTTAGATTCTGATCATCCTATCCTATCAGGGTGGCTGTCAGGGTAGCAGAGTGAACGTAAGGTGCCTCTCGATAGAGACAGGTACATAGGAGAGCCCCAAACCTTGAAGCCATCAGGAGACATGAGAGTGCTCAGAGCTGTTCTCGGATTCCTCCGTGGTGAGATGATTGTTGGGAGAATGTGCTTTAGCTGCTCGTTATTGTGTGTCTCTGAAACCAGCTAAGCTCTGTTTATTCCTGTGTGGTCACCTTTCCCTGGAACATGACTGAGGCTGTGTTCCTAGGCCTAGGTTCTGTCTGCTAATACATTTTGTTTAATGTTGGTGAACAAGAAATCTGACCAATAGCTTATTTCAGGGAACAGTTCTTAGCTTTTCCTGGCTTGATTTGAAACATTCAGACTCTTGTTGCAGCTGTTAAGAGGGTAGAGAACTTCACCACAGCCCTGGTTAGAAAATTAGGAGGAGCATTTTCTCTCCAGTTTTAGATGCTAAAGATCCCAGAGATCCCAGCCACAACAGTGATAGTATGGTCTAAAATTTTATATTAACCCTTATCAACCAACTGTGTCTGGTTTTTCCTTTTCTGGTGTTTGATTTTTTTCTCTCTCTGTCTTTTGAGAGAGGGTTTCACTGTATATACTGGCCTGGAACTTGCTTTGTAGACCAGGCTGGCCTTGGACTCACAGAAATCATCTGCCTGCCTCTGCCTCATGTTCTGGGTGCACCACCACACCAACCTGATTTTCTTTACAGTCCTCAGCAGCAAAGGTCATTGCACTTTGTCAAGGCACAAGCACCTTAGAAAGTGCCGCTGAGCTCAGGGCTTTTGCTCCCTGCTAGTGTGACAGCAGTATTGTAATGTAACACTCCCGAGGAGAAGATTTGCACCCCTGACTGCCCCCGCTTCACTGGCAGTGAACAGACTGAGAACCTTCTTCAGCCACTGAGAGCTAAGTATCGTATCTGTCTTACTTGTGTGGTTTTTTTAGAACAGGGTTTCACTGTGTAGTCCTGGCTGGCCTGGAACTCAGAGATCTGCCTCCTCTACATGCAGAATGCTAGGCTGTCATGTCCAGCCACCTGTTGTACTTTGAGGGGCCATCGCTAACATATGTTCTTTTCTTGGGCTTGTTTAGTCATCTGAGTATCTGAACCTAAGAGTTTATGCAACCAGGTCTGTGTCCTCTTCCTTTTTCAACTCTCACATTTTTATCACCAAAATGAGGCTGTTGAAAGAAATGGTGAGCCTCTAAAAACTTTTAAAAAGAAAGAAAAATCTTGTGATATAGTTCTTCTCTGACAAAATCTTGTTCTTCCTTAGGCTTCTGTCTGGACAAAGCCAAATGAGACAGAAAACCAAAGCAGAGAAAATCATGTAGAAAACTGGTGGAAATCAGCTTGCCTTGTTGTTCTGCACCTAGTGGGTCCTGAAGTAGACAGAGGATGTAGAAGCCTACATTTAGGACAGAAACTGTTTATTCCCAAGCCCCTTTGTTACTCCAGAGTAGCCTATGAGGTTTAGAATAAGATGTGGAACTGTTTAGACAGGACACTTTCAGGATAGGAAGGGGATGCTTCCCCCTTATTACTAGGCCCAACGTTCAATCTGCAGAGTTAATGTAACTACGGTATGGAATGACATTTGCCTAGCTAATGTGCTCTTGGCAAAGTTCTGTCCGAACTTTGCTGCTTTCGAGGATTGTCACACATACACTGTTTCGTGACATTCCTAACACCAAGGACCCTGGGAGACATAAGAAGTGTGTGTGAGACCTGACCTGCTGTTGTAGCTTTCAGCCTTAGGCACTGAAAATGCCTCGGGGACAGGCAAAACATGATGGCTGAAACAAAGTGTATTGGGATAAAGAGCTTAGCCAGAATCTGCACCATCCCACAGGAGAACATGGAATTTCTGAAATTCAAAAATTGGGGTTCCAGCTTAATTAATGACCCTCTAGAGACTTGAACGTGAGATTTGCACCTGAAAAGGAAAAGAATCAGCATTATCCTCAGAGTGAGGGAAGCATTTTCAGGGGCTGAAGGAGAGATAGCTACTGAACCTGTGATGTGGGGCTAGATAACATCTAAAATTCATCTGAACCCAACAGATTTGCCAAGTACCAAATGGTTAACAATGGAAGGCCTTGTGCCAGAGTGCTGCAGACGCATCCCAATGTCTGTTCTGGAAGGAGCCATAGCCAGCAGGGATCTAAACTGGCCCAAAGCGAATGTAGTTCAAATACTAACCAAACTGGAGCCATAAAACCACCAGGTGGTGGTGGTGCATGCCTTCATTGCCAGCCCTCAGGAGGCAGAGGCAGGAGGATCTCTGAGTTCAAGCACAGTATGGTCTACAGAGAGAGTTCCAGGACAGCCAGGGCTACGCAGAAAAATTCTGTCTTGAAAAACAAAAGCTCCATAACACCAAATAAAACAAAATATGCAGGGCCATCCCAGAACCACAGAAGCATGCGGGATCCTACTCACTAGTCCGGCTCAAAGCAGGGACTCACCTGTTGTGTAGTCAATTCTTTTCATTCACCAGTCACTTATCAAGTAGAACCCATTTGTTGTCAAAGATTCAGAAGTGGCTCATTGGAAAACGTACCATCCAACAGAAATCGTCAGCAAGTAAAATCTCTTTGCCTCCTAGTGCCTTGAGAGAAACTATACATTTAACCCTGCAGTTGAAGGGGCACCTGGGGCCTGGGGCTAAGGACCAGTCCTTGTAGAGAAGGGGAAATGCCAGAAGTATTCTACTGATCTGTCTGCCCCCTAGATGATGGCACAAAAGATTCCTCAGAGTCAACCAGGACTTGGCACCAACCAGATTTACTCTGCTTGCTAGATTCATTGTGGACCTTGGATGAGCCTCTGGTTCAGCCCCAGATATGAAAATAAATGTAAGTTGGTTAATTGTTTAGAAAGTAAAATATGATTGATCCCTTCCTACTGGGCATTTGGTAATGGAAACACCTTAGTCATGAACTCCAGAGAGAGCTATGTTCTACCTCACTTCCCTCATTAATAAACTCTATAAAGTTTCTGGTAGAAGCTCCCCTGGGGGCCTCCTGAGGTCATATCTATCTCAGCCAGGCCCTGTGGCTTATGAGACAATGGCAAATACTCTCTCAGTCCCCAAAAGTCTCACTGACAAAAAAGTACCTAAATTCCTTTATCCATTTCAATGGGTTAGAAAGCCCAAGTTTATGTCATGTTTCTTGAGAGGTACAGGAGACTCCTCCCCTCTTATGCTTTAGCTTAGACAACAAAAGCAGCCTGTGCAGTTGCCCGAGTAGCAAACAAGGCCTTTCCGATGAGACGTGATGTCGCTATTACATACATGTATCTGTCTGGGTGGGTATCTCTGACCTAACTTCACTCTGGTCTCTTGAGCAAAGGGGCAGCCTCTTATCCTGTGGGGTGTGTACAACATGCTAGTCTTTTGGCAAGTTTCAGGCTTCTACAAACACGATAATTAGGAGTTCAAAATTAGGGACTGGGGTGATATTTCAGTAAAGTCCTTGCCATGCAAGCATGAATACTTGAGTCTAAGCCAGGACCAATGCCATAGGCTTGAATCCCAGCACTGGGAAAGCTCTTGCTGGCCTGTCAGCCTAGCCTGATTGCTAAGCCTTAGGTCAGTGAAAGACCCTGTGTCAAAGAACAAAGTCAGTGGCTCCTGAGCAATGGCTCCCAAAGTCCTCTGGTCTCCACATGAAGATGTACACACACATATACACACATGGTCAGATTGATTGAGGGGTGGGGTTAAAGAGAATGCAGGGACTTAATGTTCACGCATTAGTACAGTATTAATGGCTAAGAGGAGGACTTCTGATGTCAGATCTAATTCAAGTCTCAAGTAATATAGCATTATTTTACCTTCAGAAGATTTTTGTTTATCTGTAAGGTATCTCGGAGGTGTTAGAGCTTAAGAACACACAGAACCAACCTGAAAGGTGATCACAAAGCCAGGCTGAACTGGATATGACAAGTGTTAAGAACCAAATGTTTGACCAGGTGTGATGGCTCACACCTGTTAACCTGGCACTTGGGAAGCTGGGGCAGGAGGATTGCTGAGAATTTAAGACCAGTCTATGCTACATAGGAAAACCTGTTTTTAAAAGGGGGAGGAGACAAGGAAGAGCCAGAGAGATGGCTCGTTGTTAAGAAGGGCACTTGCTTTTTTCAGAGAACCTGTGTTCAGTTCCCAGCATGCACATGGTGGCTTTCCATTTTAACTCCAGTTTCAAGAGAACGGATGCCTTCCTCTGGTCTCTGCAGCCACCAGACATGCAAGTGATACACATATGTACATTTTGGCAAAACATTCATACACATAAAAATAACATCTCTCTTTTTAAAAAGACTGTTCCACAGAAGTACATGACTGCTGGCTGGCTCAGCCTTTTGTTACCATCTTTTGCATCTATTTAGTATGATCTCTTACTGATTTTTTTTCTACACTTACCAGCCTACATAAGTTTCTGATGCCATAACCCCATATGGCTCTGATTCTCTCTTGATTTTTTTCTCCTGTTCCTCTTTTTAAAATATTTTTAGGTTTTATTTTATGTGTCAGTGTTTTGCTTGTATGTATGTAAACCATGTACGTGTCTGGTGCTGCAGAGATCAGAAGAGGGCATTAGATCTCCTAGAACTGGAGGTGTGGATGGCTGTGAGCCACCACGTGGATGCTGGGAATTGAACCTGGGTCCATTGAAAAAGCAACAAGTGCTCTAAGCCACTGAATTAAAAAAAATATATTTTTTTGTTATTTTTTTGTTTGTTCTTTTGAGTCAAGGTCTATGTAGGTCTTGCTGACTTGGAACTCAAGATATAGACCAGGCTGGCCTTGAACACATAGAGATCTGAGTGCCTCTGCCTCCCAAGTGCTGGGATTAAAGGCTTATGCCACAATGCCTGGCTTAAAACAAAGACTTATTTCTAAAAATTCTTCTCTTACATATTACACCCCAAACGCAGTTTCCTCTTCCTTCTTCCCTGCCAGTCCCCATCCTCACCCTAACCCCCACCCCCATCACTCCTCCTCTCTTCAGAAATGGGCAGGCCTCTCAGGGCTATCAACCAAACACGACATATCAAGCTGCAATAAAACCAGGAGGCCCCCCTCAGCAGAAGGAAAAGGCTTCCAAAAGCTTTCCAAAGAGTTCGTTCCATTGTTAGGAGTCCTACAAGAAGATCAGCGTACACAACTATAACGACAAGGTTCCCTGATTATCAGTTCAGTCTCGGAGGCCCCGTAAGCCCAGTCGGTTCTGTGGGTAACGCAAAGAATTCTCTACAGTAGTCTTTTAAATATTTCTCAGTTTTTCTTGGTTTAGATTCTATAATGTGAAATCTGGCCCAGCTCCTCTTCCCATGACCATCCTAGTTCAGTCAGCTGCAGTCAGCAATAAAACTCTCTGGCCCCTGCACCAGGATTCCTGGACCTGCTGTTCAGGAACAGGAACGATACAGTATTTAAGTGCTGCCAGAGGGGACAGAATCTGTTTAATGTCCATTGAGGTTTCTTCTACTTCACAAGCAGTTATCTAAGGCCAAAGCTTAATGTCCTTGCTCAGAGAACCTGGAAGATGCTGCTTATCTTGCGAAAGAAGACATTTGTCAATGTCCTAGTCAAGGGAGGGAGGGTATTCTTTTCTGTCCCTGCTCCCATTTTGTTTATTTGTTTGTTTATTGAAAACAGAGTCTCATCAAGTAACTGAGGTCGGCTTCAAACTCACAATCTTGTCTCAGCTTCCCTAGTGATGGGATCACAGATGAGGGCCACCATGCCTGGCTCTTCCATTCCCCAACCCCACACCTCCTCCTTTGTCCTTTTGCTTTTCGAGATAGTATTTCATGGATCCCAGGCTGACTGCAAACATGGTATGTAGCCTAGCTAGATGACTTTGATATTCCTGCATCTCCTTGGTTTCGTGGAGTGCCAGAGTTCTTCGCGGAGCTTTCTGCAGGTTAGGCAAGTACTCTACCAACAGAACTACATCCCTAGCCTTTTTTTTTTTTTTTTAAACTAAATGTGTAGCCCAGGCTGGCTTTGAACTCCAAATCCTCCTGCCTCTGCTTCCTTCAGCAAATTCTACCAGCTAGTGCCACCAAACTGTCTAGCCTCTTCTTTTTAAAGAATTGACCACAGTCATAGACCTACAACAGCCTTGGTCAGCTTGATCATTTAAGTGTCCCTCTATATCATGCCTCAGACCAGCAAGGAAGGCAGAACAATCCAGCCTCATCAGAACAGACCCCAAAGCTGTATATCAGTAAGTGCTCAAGTTAGTCAAGTTATATTCTAAATAAAGGGCTTAATAAATCTCACTGAACTATGCGGGTTTATGCTTATTAGCAAAGCAGTATTTATAGTAAAATCTTGAAACTGTCTTAAAAATGTGGCTGGAAAGATGGTTTAGGAGTGAAGAGCACATGCTGCTCTTGTAGAGGACCAGAGTTTTGTTCCTAGCAGCCATGTTGGGTGCTCAGAATGTCCTGTAAAAATAGCTCCAGGGTTGCAACTTTTGCAAGAAAACTTTTGGTTGGTTGGTTGGTTGGTTGGTTGGTTGGTTGGTTGGTTTTGGTTTTTTGTTTTGTTTTCGAGACAAGGTTTCCCTGAGAATCCCTGGGTGTCCTGGCATTCACTCTGTGTACCAGGCTGGTCTGGAACTCAGAGATCCTCCTGCCTTTGCCTCCTGAGTGCACGGGTTAAAGTCGTGCTTTGATGCTGACTCCACCAGCCAGCAAGAAAACTTTTAAAGACAGGGTCTCATGTAGCCCAGCATGTCCTTGAACTTGACAGATAGTTAAAGAGGACCTTGAACTCGTGATATTCCTGTCTCCTTCTGCCAAGTGAGGATTGTAGGCCCTTACTACCATACTATATACCTCATATATAGTATTCATAAACATAAATGTATGGAGAGTAACAGGTCAAGAAGGTGGCAGGCACATTCTTGGAGACTTGGTTTTGTTTAACTAATCCAAACAATTAAAATTAAGGATGTGTAAGAACTAATATATGCTAGTCGGTTCTTGGCTTCTAGTTTATAATTTAAAAAATTAAAAATAGCATAAGAAATGCAGTATTTACTAGCTAACCTCAGTGAATACACAGAAGAATAAACACAGTTACCAAGGAAAATTAGACCATACTTATGTTATTAGCCAGTAGGATTTAGAATTTTCATTTTCTCATATGATCTTGTGGGGCCAGGACAAGGATTGTAAATGACATTTGCACTAGTTTATTCTTGGCTGAACATAAAAATGACCTGGAGGCTTAAGAGATACTTAAAAGCCAGGGCCCACTCTAGAATGGATTCATTGCTGTGTGACAGAGAATGGATTTTTCTTTTCAGGTTCTCTCAAGTGATTGCAGAGTGCTGTGAGAATTAGAAGATTACGGAACAAGAAAGTTAGGTATTGAACTGGAA